AATTAAGGCTACATTTTACAATTGTTCCCAAAAATATTTTAGGCAACACTTTACAAGTGTTGCTAATATTTGATGTGGACGTAGGCATACAATGTCGTAGTCGTGTATATAGAATGCAAACTTCAAGGTCCGACCCCCAAGGACCGCCCTAGGGGTCCACTCAGGGACCCCAACTTTGGCCCAAAAAGTTGCCCTAGGCAGTAACCATTGGCCAGAAAAGAAATAGGTTCGCGTCGTGGACTAGGTCCCACATGGAACAAAATTCCAGGTCTGCATTGCGGACACATTGCGGACTCTTTAATTTCAAAAATTATATTTTGAAATCATGCGGGAGCAACATCGAGAAGCGGGCTTGTTCCCCGATGAAAATTTGAAATTTGGAATTTAGGTTTTACTTCATTAAATGGTCAAGTTAAGTGAGGGGTATTTTGGGTATTTCATGGGAGGTCTATATATTGGTTTTCAATCAGTTTTCCCTCAGATATACTCACTCAAATCAAATCCGTAAATCAAAACACAAAAGCTCTCACCTCTCTCAACTTCTGAATCTATTCAACCTCCATTGGAGAAACTTTAAAGCATGAAGAAGAAAGCCAAATTCCTGTGTTTTTCTATTCAAATTGGATTTTAAAGTCTTCATTAAAATATGCTTTACTTCACTCTTGGGATTCCTTTCCTCAAGTGGTCCTTCCAAAGAGATTTTGAACTTTCCTAATCTAGGGTTTTTCTCTGCATATGTTTCTTCTTTAAAAAATCTAAATAGGAATCAATTTTGATGAATTATGGTCAATTAATGTTGTTTAACCACAAATTCATGGTTAATTCTTGTTATTTACTTAAGATTACCATGGACCTTCCCCAATTTCTTGAAAACTTTGAATTGATAACGTCAATTGTTAAGAGGATGAATATGTTGATTGACTAAATTGATATTTATTATGTAATTGCTTCTTTAATTTACCTTAATGATGCATTGTCTATTCTTCCTTTGATAATTGAAGTATGGAGACAATGAAATGTCAAGATGGAATGAAGGTTGATTCTTCTTGAATTCAATTGTGAAGTATGAGTTATTTAGATTGTGATGCTTCTTTATATAATGTGTGGTTGTTATGTTGATGGAAACTGTTCCTCATACTTAACCCTATACTATTGAATTTTTTATGAAGTAAGAATGTATTCTAACAACCCTAAAAATGGATATGATAAGAAATGCTTAATGTGTCAAGAATGTCTATGATTAGACTAGAGTTCACATGGACTGATGCACGTAGAACCAGACCTCGGAACACTTGCTACAGCCAAGCCAACTAACTTGGGGAGTTAGTTGAGATTGAAATGTTTGGGTCAAACCATATAGGGCTCTCGAATACGAAGATTTACTTCAAGGAGTCTTTACCAGACTTAAAAAGGGAAAATCTTAGGTTTGGAGTGTCTAGGGGTAAAATGGTCTTGTTCTAGGCTAAGGGTAGTATCATAATTACCCTAAATATATAATTAATTATTTAATTAATCAGGTGTAGGGGAAATTTGGGGAGATAGAGCACAAATTGAGCTCTTGTAGTTAAGTCTTGCTTCAATCGGGTTCGAACCTAGGTGGAAGCAATGAATTAATGTGATTTTAATTTAAGATATTGAATTAATAAAATTAATTAATAATTATTATTCATTATCTGATTTAAAATAAAATAAAATTCAGATTTTTAATAATTAAGTAAACCTTACATAACTATATCCTAAACTAGACTCCTAAGCTTAATATAACTCCTAATCTCTCACGTCCATCTCTCAACTCCTCACGCTCAATCTCCCTTGTTATTTCACAGGAAATTTATCTGCCAAAATAAGATACAAAAGAAGAAAAATAAACCAAGTTCTTAACACTTGAAGAACTCACACGAAATCACAAGAAAAGAAACATTAATCGCATACTAGGATAACAGATGTTGTCATTCTAGTGGAGTTGATATTGAGGAGATTCACACGTTTTCTTGGGTGAAGTTTGTGGGAAGCAAGTCAAGAGTTTAACGTCAAAAAGGTGTGGGTTTTCTTCTCTCTTGGTCCCTTACACAAGATACCCCTTATGATTCAGTCAAATCTAATCAGAAAACTAGGATTGTTCCCGTTGCATGTCCCTGCCCCTAGCTCCCGTTGATTCGTAGGTTGGGTATGTTTGCTTGTGGATATTAAGCATGTAATGTGTTTTCATGTTGAATATGTTCATAAATGTTGTTTGGAATCGTATGAATGACAACCTATGTTTTTTCGAAAAGGTGTGTATGTGTGTATAATATAGCCGTAACTCCTTTGGTTTGAGGTTCAAAAATAACATGTTATGGTTGTGTTCTTACGTGCACAAACTTATATAAATCGTGATGTTCACAACTGATATAAATATGCTGATTTGAGTGCAATTCTTTATTGAATGAAATCTTGAAAATGCACCTAAGGAACTCAGTAAAAACTACTTAAAACGTCTAAACATTTAATGTTAAAGAAGGGAGAAAATAAGCTGCAATAATTTACAGCAGTTTGTTAATAAGTTTTGGCCAAGCTAAGGATAATTTCATGCTATGAAAAAATGAACTAATATATGTGAGATCGCAGGGGATTAAACCTGTGACCTCACCATGTTGAAAATCTATGAAATAAGGTGAGAAAAAGGGAAAGTGGCATGTGGGACTCGAACCTATGACCTTGGCTGGAAAATGAAAAATGAAAAGAAAAAAAATGAGAAGAGTGGGATTCGAACCCACAACCTCCTAGACGGTAAAAGAGGAAGGAAAAATGAAAAAGAAAAGAAAAGAGAGGAGTGGGATTCTAACCCACAACCTCTCACGCAGTAAAGGAGAAATGAAACATGAAAAGAAATGAAATGTGAGGCGTTGGATTAGAACCCACAACCTCTTAGGCAGATTTTAAGGAGAATTAAAACTGAAAATAAAAGAAATGTGAGGCATGTGAATTGAACCCATGACCTCTAGGCAGTAAAGGAGAATTTAATTAAAAATAATGTGAGGTTGTGGGGTTTAATCCCACAACCTCATTGTCAATTTGATATAATCAAGGAGAAACAAATAAAGAAATAAAAGGGGCTGTAGGGATACGAATCCAAAACACCTCGTCCAATGGGAGAGAGTATTAAGAATAATAAATTAAAAGAAAATGAAGTTCAGGGGATTTGATCCCACATCCTCTCAATTCCATTGAGCGAAAAATGAAGAGAAAAACAAAGGGAAAAATAAAATGAAGGTGTTTGGGCTCGATCTAGGGTCTCAATGTCATGGTGACTATAAATAAAATCAATGAAAAATGTAAGTGTTGTCCAAGGGATTTGAACTTGGGTTCTGTTGCCTAAATTTCCGTATTGATACATAAATCATACGTGAATTACATGTTAAAAAATAATGTGGCTTACTTAGATCAAAATTGAGATCTTGGAATACATACAGGATTCATAAGTCTTGTACCATATAAACTTAGGAAGATATGAGTCGACTAACAAATTAATAATCAATCCTTATGGTTTGTATGTATAGACCCATAAGTATATCATACTTTTAAAATTAAGTGAATGTAAGATGTATGGAATGTAATGAAGTAACCCTAGAAGGGTTAAGTGTGAGTGTATAACACACTAAATGACCAACACCATTGGCATACGATGAAATGTTTATTACCTAATGAAATGATGAAACCCTAGGAGGGTTAAGTAAGAGTAACACACAAATGTCCAGGTGCATTGGCATATGATGAAATGAACATTTACGTAAAAATGGGTTAGTAATTATGAAGAGCATTTTTGCTAATGTAAATGATTGTGGTGACAAAATGGTATGAGGGTAATGTAAAAGATGAGAGCAATCTCAAATGAGCCTTAGTAAACGTTACCAAGACGTTCACACGTATGAGAGTGTAAGTTAATGAAGAGACCTGTCGATATGAACACTCTAATGAAAGTATCTATATTAAAAAACTTAATACTAATGAAGAGATTAGAAATCATGTAATGATCTATGATTTCCTCATGCTAGATGCCAGCTTCCATGATGTATGAGTTGAATGAAATGGAACTTTATATTCAGCACCGATAGTCTAGCTTTCAGCGGTGATGCCTTCATTCGGAAAGGGCGGAGGTTCACATAACTCTCATTAGATGAGACTGTCCAGCATGCCGAGTATGGTTCTACTTATATCTCCTAGTCTTCGAACCTAGACTGCCAATATAGGAATCTAGCAGGGTTCAATTACCGTATACTCTAGCATGTTTTGGGTCACTTGGTCGGTGATTCCACCTCTTTTCTGTGTGGGGTTTCATGACACTAGATTTCATGATGCTCACATCATCTATATCAATTAAAGTTAAAAGTTACCAATGAATGAATGAATAAGGCCATCCTTAATTGATGCACATAATGAAATGAATGATACCAAAGGTGTTACGATAGGATAATCAAAAGGTGAATTATATTCAAGTAATGACATTAGGTCATTCTTGGTTAATGTACAACAAACCCGAAGAAAGTCTTACACTATATCGTAGGTATTGTTGGTGCTTACACTAGCCCATGAATGAAAGGAAATGAAGTACGTATGAATGAGTGAAGCAGACTCTGTGTTTTCTAAAGTAGACTCCCTAGTTGAGGTCCCATATGTTGAAACCCTCATTTTTCGGGAAGTCCTAATATCAAGTTCATGATTCCAATGTATCATGGCATACGAATGAATGATATGAACAACGTCATGTGTTATATGAATTATGATATGTTCTATGTGAAATATGTTATGTGCTGTTTGCAAAATAATAAATTTGATAATGCATGTTACACTCACCGCATGACATTCCAAATCCATATTTTGCAAGTCCTTTGACTTGACTTTCCATAAATCATGTTGTTAGGAAATATCTATACCTTCTTATGCATGTCCTTGGTGTGTGCTTGCATATACCCATACTTAGTATAAGTGTGGACTAATTCCATACAAATATCTACTTTTAGGTGCAGCAAAAAGAGGAAGATAGATCTTACACTACGACGTTGCAGCTATCCAGACGTGGGGTTTTCATCTGGACATGGTAGGCCCTTATAATTTCGAGGTTATCTACTGTTATTATGTAGCTTAGATGTAGGCTTTAGCTAATGGATAATTTCCCATTTCATTTCATACTTTGTATTGGTACCATTGTTTCAAGTATACATTCAATGCAACAACGAAATATTTATTCATTTGATGATCTTAATGTTACATGGTTGATGGTAAATAATTATACATGTAATAGAATGTTTATTAAGCATGTTATGAAACAAAAAGTTTGAAATTTTCCGCTAAAATTAATCTAGACGAAGTAAGAATGATAAATGTAGGATTGTCTGCGGCCTCTGGAAGATGAACGACGCTGGTCTCGTCTCGGGTCTAGACTCCGGCCGTGAAAATGTTGGTATCAGAGCAACTAGGTTAAATTCCAAGGATAATAAGTTCACATCAACAACATTGAGTAGTTTCTATGTCATGGTAGTGAAGTGCACCACTATCCTGTATTAGAGACTGCATGATGCGTACGAAAAATTTCCCTTTGTCTAATCTTGTCGTGGTTTCTCTAATTTCATACTTCTTAGTGTTAAAAGAGTATCTAAAATCAACTCTTGAAGTTTACAAAAGATGAATATAAGGAGAAAAGCAGACGAAGAGATTGGAGGAGTAGCTGCTGGGGTAATTCAAGTTCTTTCCCAGGCTCCAGCTGTTGGAATAGAGATGCCTGTTTCAGCTGGGTTGACAGATATAGATAACCCAAGCTAACACTTTAGAATCTTAGGTTATTGGGTTCGATTGATGTGGAAAAGTCTGAGTTGGCATCCTACCAGCTAAGGGATGTAGCTCTATCCTAGTATAAAGTATGGTAGGATAGCAGAGCCTTAGAAGGAGGTCCTATTACTTAAGATCTTTTCAAGATGGATTTTACAGAGCGGTTATTTCCCAAATAAATGAAGGAGTCGAGGGTTGAGGAATTCATCAACCTTAAGCAGGCTCGATGTCAGTCAGCGATTACTCCATGAATTTTTTAAAACTTAACAACTCAAGAGAGACCACATTACAGGAAGTGTGGCAAACTACATTGAGGAGAGTGTATGATGGGCACTAACGCTTGTTGTAGTTGTGGAGAACTTGGTCACACGGTGAAGGATTGTCTGATTAGGAGAATTCAAGAACAAGGGAATGAGAGAGTTTAGTCTAATGCTCCATGTGAAGAGGCTCCAAGGACGCAACGATTCTTCGCACTCAATTCTGGGGGTGCACGGGAACATATCTCTGGTGAAGTCTCGGGTGAGTATCCCAAATTAGTCCTTCAAGTATTTGACTCTGTATGGTGTGTATGCATTAGTATGAGGTTAATATGTTTGAGACAGCATGTTGGTTTCTGATTTGTATGATTTATTTTTTACTTATGTTGTATGCTTTGATACTAGTTTAAGAGAGACTTCCTTAGTGTGTTAATATGGAAATACTAGTGGGTTTCAAGGATGTGCACCATCATGTTAATATGTGAATCAGATATTCACCAAAGTAGAGTATTGGATTCTCTATGCAGGTGTACGTTCTATAGATGACATACTTATTGTTAGTAAAGAGTAGTGTCATTCGTGGATGAATGTTCTTAAGGGGCTGGGGTATAATGTTATTGCCTTAAAAATTGATAAGATATGAAATACTTAAAGTGTAAAGAATGCCTATGATTAGACATGGTTTACACGGATTGATGCATGTCGAACCAGACCTCGAAACCCTTGCTACAGCCAAGCCTACTAACTTGGGTAGTTAGTGGATCTTGGAAAGGTTGGGTCCAACCATGTAGGGCTCTCGAATACGAAGATTTACTTGAAGGAGTCGCTACCGAACCTAAACAGGGAAAATGTTAGGTATGGAGGGTCTAGGTGTAAAATTGTCTCTTTTAATGCTAAGAGTAATATCATATTTACCCTAAATATATAATTAATTATTTAATTTAAAAGGTGGAGGGGTAATTTGGGGAGATAGAGCATAAATTGAGCTCTTGAAGTGATGTCTTGCTTCACCCAGATTCGAACCTAGGTGGAAGCAATGATGTAATTTTTATTTAGGCTATTAAATTAATATAATTAATTAATAATTATTATTGATTAAAATAAAATAAAATAAAAATCAGATTTTTAACATTATGTAAACCTTATTTGACTAAGTCCTAAACTAGACTCCTAAGCTTAATATAACTCCAACTCTCTCACATATATCTCTCAACTGTCACGCTCAATCTCCCTTGTTATTTCACACAAAAATTCTCAGAAAAAATAAGATAATAAAGCAAAAAAATAAACCAAGTTCTTCACACTTTAAGAAATCACACGAAATCACAAGAAAACAAGCATTAATCGCACACTAGCTAGTGGAGTTGATATTGAGGAGGTTTAGACGTGTTCTTGGGTGAGGTTTCTGGATAAAGTAAAGAGTTTAACGTCAAAAAGGTATGAGTTTTCTTCTCTCTTGTTTCCTTTCCCAAGAGACCCCTTAAGATTCAGTCAAATCTAATCTGAAAGCTAGGATTGTTCCCGTTGCATGTCCTTGTCACTAGCTCCCGTTGATTCGTACGTTGGGTATGTTTTCTTGTAGATATTAGGCATGTAATGTGTTTTCTTGTTGAATATGTTCATGTATGTTGTTTGGAATTGTATGAATGAAAACCTATGTTTTTCTGAAAAGGTGTGTATGTGTGTACAATGTAGCCGTGACTCCTTTGGTTTGATGTTCAAAAATAACATGTTATGGTTGTGTTCTTACGTGCACAAACTTACATAAATCGTGAAGTTCATAACTTATATAAATATGCTTATTTGACTGTAATTCTTTATCGAATGAAATATTGAAAATGCACCTAATGAACTCACTAAAAAACTACTTAAAACGTCTAAACATTTAATGTGAATGAAGTGAGAAAATAAGTTGCAAAAATTTCCAGCAGCTTGTTAATAAATTTTAGCCAAGCTAAGGATAATTTCATGCTATGAAAAAATGAACTAATATATGTAAGATCACTGGGGATTAAACCCGTGACCTTACCATGTTGAAAATCTATGAAATAAGGTGATAAAAAGGGAATGTGGCATGTGGGACTCCAACCTATGACCTTTGTAGGAAAATGAAAAATGAAAAGAAAATAAATGATAGTATTGGTATTCGAACCCACAACCTATGAGACGATAAAGCAGAAAGGAAAAAATTGAAAAAGAAAATAAATGAGAGGAGTGGGATTCAAACGCACAACCTCTCAGGCAATAAAGGAGAAAGGAAAAATGAAAAAAAAGGAATGTGAGGAGTCAGATTAGAATCCATGACTTCTTAGGGCAGATTTAAAGAGAATTTAAAATGAAAATAAAAGAAATGTGAGACATGGGAATTGAACCAACGACCTCTAGGCAATAAAGGAGAATTACAATAAAAATAAAGTGAGGTATTTGGGGGTTTGATCCCTTGACCTCATTGTCAATGCGATATAGTCAAGGAGATATAAATACAGAAATAAGATAGGTTGTGGGGGTTCGAACCCACAACCTCTCGGCCAACAGGAGAGAGTTTAAAGGAAAAATAAATTAATAGAAAATGAGGTTTTGGTGGTTCGATCCAACATCCTCTCAATCCCATTGAGCAAAAAATGAAGAGAAAAAATAAGAGAAAAATAAAATAAAGGTGTTTGGGCTCGATCTAATGTCCAATGTCATGAGAACTATAAATAAAATCAATTAAAAATGTAAGAGTTTTCCAAGGGATTTAAAGTTGGGCTCCGTTGCCCAAATTTCCGTATTGATACATAAACTATACGTGAATTACATGTTCAAGAATAATGCGACCTACTTTGATCGAAATTGAGATCTTGGTATACATACAAGATACATAAGTTGTGTACCACATAATCTTAGGAATATATGAGTCAACTAACGGATTATGAATCAAGCCTCATGGCCTGTATCTATAGACCCATAAGTCTAGCATACGTTTTAAAAAAAGTGAACCTAAGATGTATTTAATGAAATGAACTAACCCTAGAAGGGTTAAGTGCGAATGTAAAAAAAACTAAATGGCCAAGTGCATTGGCATACGATGAAATGATTATTATGCAATGAGATGATGAAACCCTAGAAGGGTTATGTGAGAGTAGCACACAAATGGCCAAGTGCATTGGATATCATAAAATAAACATTCACGTAAAAAGGGTTGAGTAATTATGAAGAGCAATTGTGCTAATGTAAATGAATATGGTGAAAACATTATATGAGGCCAATGTAAAAAATGAGATAAATCTCAAATGAGCCTAAGTAAATGTTACCAAAACGTACTCACCTATGAGAGTGTAAGTTAATGAAGAGACAAGTCTCTATGAGCACTCTAATCAAAGTATTGAGATTAACACACTTAATACTAATAATTAGATGAGAAATCATCTAATTAGATATGATGTCTCATGCTCGAAGCCAGCTTCTATGATGTATGAGTTTAATATAATGGAAATTTATAATGAGCACCGATAGCCTATCTATGAGTGGTGATGTCTTCCTTCGGGAAGGGCGGAGGTTCACATTACTCTCATTAGATGACACTGTCTGTCATGCCAGGTTTGGGTCTCTTTATATCTCCTAGTCTTCGAACCAATACTGCCAATATAGGGATCTGGTTGGGTTTAATTCCCATGTACGCTAGCATGTTTTGGGTCACTTTGGCCAGTGATTCCACCTCTTTTCCATGTGGGGTTTAATGACACTGGATTTCATGACGCTCACATGATCTATCTCGGTTAAACTTAAAGTTACCAATGAATGAATGAGGCCAGCCTCAAATGATGCGCATAATGAAACAAATTATTACCAAAGGTGTTAGGATAGGATAATCAAGAGGTGTGTTAGATTCAAGTGATAACATTAGGTCATTCTTGGTCATTGGAGAACGAACCCGGTGAAAGTCTTAAACTACATCCTATGTAATTCTTGTGTTTACACTTGGCCATGAATGAAATGAAATGAAGTACGTATGAATGAATGAAGCAGACTCTGTGTTTGCTAAAGTAGACTCCCTATTTTATCTTTCATATATTGAGCTCTCATTTTTTGGAAAGTCTTAATGTTAAGTCTCTGATTCAAATGTCTCATGGCGTACGAATGAATTATATGAAGAACGTTATGTTTTATATGAATTATAATATGTGGTATGTGAAATATGTTATGTGCTATTTGCAAAATGATAAATTTTGATGATGGATGTTACACTCATTGGCATGACTTTTAATATCCAAATTTGGCAAGTCCACTGACTTGACTTTCCATAAATCATGTTGTTAAGAAAGAGCTATTCTTTATCATGCATGTCCTTGGTGTGTTCTTGCATATACCCATACTTAGTACAAGTGTGTACTAATTCCATACAAATATCTACTTTATGGTGCAGGCACAGGTGGACTTGAGATCTTACAGTACGACGTAGTACCTATCCGGACGTAGAGCTTTCATCTTGACTTGGTAGTCCCTCATCTTTCGAGGTTGTCTACTATTATTATCTAGATTATATGTAGGATTTAGCTAGTGGAGCATGTTCCACTAGTCTTTCATTTCAAACCTTGTATAGGTGCCTTTTTGGCAAGTATACATTTAATGCAGCTACAAACTATTTCTTTCATTTGATTATCTCAATGTTAGATGGTTGATGGTGAACAACTATACATGTAATAGAATGTTTAGTAAGCATGTTAGGAAACAAAGACTTTCAAATTTTCCTCTACAATTGAACTATATGAATTAATAATTACGTATGTAGGCTTGTCTACGACCTCTGAGAGGTCAATGACGCCGGTCTCGTCAGGGGTCTAGACTCCGGCCGTGACAAGTATGTTATGGTATAATTATTATATGATTGAAAGTAGTTGATCATGATTATAATAAATTTTTAAGTAAAAGATTTACTCAGTTGTATATGGTTTCTTAAGTAAAAGCGTAATTCTGATTTATGAATTCCTATGAACTATTACAATAAGTTGTTCACATAGGGTTCTAGAAGAGACTAATGTGATCTTGTATAATGAGTATGATGATTACCAAAGGGAATAAACTCTTAGCATCAAAAGTTCATGTAAATGATATGAAGGTGTCATGTTTAGCATGTTCGGATTCCCACGATATGTGTTGTCTCATATAATGGAAACCTCCGCATTAGTAAGTAATGGTTTCTAGTAACAATTTTCTTGTCCCTTAACTATGTACCCATATAGGAATATAACTTAGTGGATTCGCCTAGATACTATTCAAGATTGGTTACACTTTAGGCAAAGTGTTAACCCTCTTTTTTTGGTGTGGGATAACACCGGATTCCATGTAGCTCACATGGTCTCATGTAAGTTATTGCATTATATTCCCCTATGTAATATGGTAAATGAATAAGTCAAGTATGTGAATTATGCTTAGGGCTTGTCTTAAAGTTTACTAAATAACGTGAGGGATGATGTACCGTGGTTTCACGATTCTTTCAAAGCTTTTTCCCTAAGTTTAGTGTGTGTCTAGAGCCTTTTTGTAGTAATTTTAATGTATTTTTATCTTTGTTTTGCAGGAATGTTGTCCAAAGAGGAAATGCAGAAGGCTATGAAGAAATCATTGAAGAAGAGATCCACAAAGCCATCGACGAACCGTCTTCCCATCCACAGACCGCAGGTGGTGATCGTCGACTGGAGGTTCAAGTATCTAGAAGCAACTCAATGAATTATAATAATGTATGGGGCTTCGGAAAGATCAACAGTCTTTTGACGTATAGCGGACTATCCTGGAAAATCGTTGATGAGATTAGAGAATTTCTCAATACCAAGTTTTGAAGATAAAGTTAAGTGTTGAATCACGATATGCATCGACGCACCATGTTTTGGGTCTGTCGATTGGATCAGAGAAGATGCAACGCGCAAGATTTTCAAATATGCTAAGTATGGACTGACAGAGGCAGTCGATGGTCCGTCATTTGATCGGTAGACCGTCAGTGGAGTCGTCGACTGGATCCGCATTTTTTGGACAAAATTTCCTTAATTGCTTTCCTTTTATTTTAGGACATTGTCTTTATAATAGGGTGAAAACCTCGTTTTGTAATAGGATATTTTATTATTTTTCATACTTTTGTTCTTGGAGATTTGACTTTGAAACTGGTGTAATTAATTCAAGTTTTCGTAATCGATTCTCAAGTGAATTTTGTTATTTCAATTATAATTTCTGGTCCTTCCTTTACGTTGTGGATAAAAATAAGCCTTGATTCAAACTTGTCAAAGTAAGTTCATGATTTATTAGTCAACAAATATGAATTGTGTTCTTCTAAGCATGGATAACTAAATCCATAACTAGGCTTGTGGGAACCATGGGTAATTAACAAAAAAAGCCTATCTAATTGTCAATTCTCAACTATGTTATTTCATGCATCGATAAATCTTTCGTCTATAAGTCTTTTTAACGAGTACACACGTTATAACTCGCCTTATTGCTACTTTCCGTACAAAGGGGTAGTTAAAAGGAAAAGAATTATTGACATACATTTAGTGGATACTATCTTATAGGCTAGTTTCGGTTAGTGCGAGGTTATAACAAAGACAAACATCGAATATGATGCTTAATATGAAGTAAAATGTATGGGTTAGTAATTTAAGAACACGTAGCCAAACCAATGTACGAGATAAAATTCTCTAAATGCCGAACCAACGATTAAGAGATACATAATGTATCACTTTGAATGCAAAACCAAAGGAAAGAATTATTAAAATCTAGGGTTATGTCGTTATGAATCTATGGGGATTCCTTACACCATAGTTTCTCTCATAACTTGATAAACATCAACAATTTACTCTTGCTACTTGTTAGATTCATAACATTACAACATTTTTGTTTCACAAAAAACCTCATTTTTAATTATTAGTTTTTGAAAATGACTTGACTAAATAGAGGTAATCATACATTAAAGTTAAGTGTAAATCATTTTCATCATTGGATCGAACGAAACCTAATAGTTGGGTTTTTTAATTGATACGACCCTAGTACTTCTTTAGGGAAGTCTAGTTTGAGCGTATCAAATTTTTGCACCGCTGCCAAAGAAAGTGGCTTTTAGATATATTTTAATATCAACTATTGATTCTTAGTCAACAATTTCCTAATTTTACTTTTGTCTTTGTTTTTGTGTCTTTCAGGTCTAGCTCTAGTGTATGCCAAGTACACGGAGTCAAGGGCACCAATACTACCGTTTTATCTAGAATTTGGTCATACACTTGGCAGAATGATTGATTTATAGAATCCTGCTAATCTTGGTGATAGGATTAACCGTCACGCCGGTTGATGCTCACAACCAAGTGATTGTGGAGAACACTTGTGATAGTGCTTTGAGGAGGCAACATCCCGCCCCACGCCCTTAAGAGTATTATAGAGGAAATGTTTATATCATAAATTCTGATGGGCCTCTTATCCTGTAAATTCTGATGGGCCTCTTATCCTACCTCCTCTACCATAGGGTCGTACATTCGTGGTAACTAGTAGTTTGATGCAGATGCTCACCGCTAGAGGTTTATTTTCGAGGTTACCATCAAAGGATACACGTGCTCACATCACTAAACTAAGGTCAGTGTGTAAGAGTTGTGTAGGGAGGCTAGACTTGGACATGGATGCCATCGAATTAAGGATGTTCCCTCGCTTTCTAATTGGAGAGGCCACAATTTGGTTTACTGGGTTGCCCTATAATTTGACCTATACTTCGAAGCAGTTGAGGGATGTGTTCCTATCACGGTATTAAACGTTGTATAAAAATCTCAACCACAAAGATATAGTGAACAACTTTGTGGCATTGCTTGGGGAATCGATAAGTAGATCTTGGGATAGGTTCACCTCATTTGTGAGAAGTATTTCAAACAAACGCATTGATGATGAATCATTAAAAGAGTACATATCTAGGGGACAAGATAATAACTATAAGGCAATATTTGATACTATTGAGGGTGGTTAATATGGTGAGTGCACATATGCTCAGATCACAGAGAAGTTGGAGAAAATATCTCGCAACAATATGGGTTGGAAAACTAGGAGGTCGGACACTAGGAGAAATACCTTTGCAGTGTAAGATACACCCAACCCGACCTCATATGAGATTCCTTAAGAGATGGCTTGAAGGAGAACTATGATCGGATTTGTATTAAAACATAAAACTGGAGGTGCAGAGAAAGAAAATGCAGTGAATCATTTGACAAAAACCACAACCGCTAGCACATGAAATCTACTATGAAGAGGGTTCTTACTTAGTGAATGATCAGACGGGGTGTTTTCGACCAAACGCCCAAGAATCCATTAACGAGAACTGGTTACAAGGTCTAAGGAATATGAGTTGGAACTATGGGAATTACAACTGAGAGGGTCATTATGTTCGAGATGGAAACTACAACCGCGACAACAACTTCAATAGAGGTAACTTTGGAAGCAGAAAAAAATTCTAAACGGTCCTATATTCCATCTTAAAATCAAATTTTTTTTCCTAGGGATGGTAGAAGTAGTATGGAGTGAGTTGAAGATATTTTGCAAAAGATTATGAGGAGTTTCAATGCCAGTAATGAGCACGCCAAAGAGTTGAGAGGTGATATGGCTAATATTGGGAAAAAGGTGATGCACATGCAATCTCAATCAAGCATCTTGAGTTTCAAATGACCCAATTGTCTTCTACTATGAACCCATGTATACCGGGTAATCTTCCTAGCAAAAATGTCAGAAATCTGAAAAATTATGGACATTGCATAGTAGTCACTACTCGAGATGGTAAGAAAAATATTGGTCCACCTATGTTGTCTGCCATAGAAGATGAGGTGACAAGAGATAATGAGGTAGTAGAAGTTAGTGGTGCGTTGGTAGACAAATTAGCGAAAGAAGCGGAGATACCGTAAAAGGTGATCCCCGTTCCTAGACCACCACCACCATTTCCACAAATATTGGTGAAGAAGATTGAGGATGGTAAATACCGGCGGGTTGTTACTATGTTGAAATAATTTTCCATCAATGTCCTTTTATATAAGCTCTTGAAAAAAAGTCTGGTCATGCCATGTTTATGAAAGATATGGTTACTATGAAGAGATCGGTATATTTTGAGTATGGTGACCGCACACAACATTGTAGTGCTATTGCTATAAGGTCTCTTGTGCAAAAGAAAGAAGATTCGGGCGGTTTCACTATTCTATGTACCATCGGGTTGTTACACTTTGCTAAATCACTGTGTTATCTTGGTCAAAGCATAAATCACATGCCTCTCTCTTTTTAAAAAACGTTGTGTTATGGCGACCCAAAGCCTACTGTGACGCGGTTACTTATAGACGATCCAACGGTGAAGAGGAATATTGGGATACCCCAAGATGTGTTGGTGAAAGTGGAGTCGTTTATATTGTCGTTCGACTTTGTGATTCTTGAATGTGAGGTGGATTTTGAGGTGCCAATTATTCTTGGGAAGTCATTCCTTGCTACCGGTCGCGCCTTTGTTGATATGTAAAAGGGCTGATGAAGTTTAGGTTAAACAATGAAGAAGCAACTTCAAACATTTGTATGTCCATGAAGCAGAGTGGTGATCTCCAAACGGTATCTATGATATCCTACAGGGTTATGTTGATG